AAGAACCTTTAGATTAATCAGCCATAGCTAATTAGTTATATGGTATTAAGTACAGAAGTGTAGTGTGTTTATCATTTTCTTTATTTAACTCGAATTTATTTATTCAGTCCGGCGGACTTTCATGTGAGTAGAATATAAATAATAGATTAAGCTTAATCTATTATTTATATGTTAATAGAATCTAGTGATTAGTTTGGGTTCCTGTAGTTTCTGTGGAGAAAACATTGTGGGGTAATTGCTCTTGGAGTTGGACAGTTAGGTATTGGTTTCTTTTTCAAATATAATAAGCTTGTGATTGCAGATTGAGATTTGGAAGCATTTGTTGCTTGCAAATATTTCCTTAGAACTTTCGAAGAATTATGGGAATCTACATCTGTGATTAATCTGATCATTTGGTTTCCTGATATATCAACATAGTGAATGGAATCTTTTAAGTTTCATCTACAAAACTTGGAAACCTTGGGTAATGGATGTGAGTGATAACAAGGTGCTTAAGCTGTTAAGCTGAAATTGGGTGGAAAATTTGCAAAGAGCTAAGTTTAGCTTTTGTACTCCATACAATGAGGTTGGTTCTCTGATAGTGATCTCAGGGTCTGAGCTTGTGGAATTCAATCATTTTCATTGGGATAATCGACTTTAACGATTTAATTTGACAACTTGGGCTCCTTGGAGATGTATTCCGGAACTTAAATCTTAGATTGCAGTTTACTCTTCTGGTTCTATGAAGTAGTGGAGGTAGTCTTAATGAATGGGAAAGTTAGCGGAGTTTTGGGATTAGTTTACAAAATGCATGTCTTTTCATTTTTTGTTAGAGATGGTGAATTAATAGTCTTTGAAGAGATTTGTGTACCAGGGTTGTTTCTTTGAGTAGCGCCTTTGTTGAATGTAAGATCAGTTATTTGTTTGGATCTGCATTAATAGTCTTTGAAGAGATTTGTGTACCAGGGTTGTTTCTTTGAGTAGTGCCTTTCTTGAATGTAAGATCAGTTATTTATTTGGATCTGCAGTAGAGGATGGTGTGTTAATATGAGTCCCAGGTTATATAAGTCTAGAATACTTATAGATGGGTTAAGTGTTGGATTGATGACTCATAATTAGAGAGGACACTTTGCGAAAGATCCAGGTGAAATAGGGGATGGGTTTAAATGACTATCTCGACCTTTACCTGTTCTATCAGACTCTTATAATTTATTGGAATCCAAATTTTTAATGCTTGAACTAAATTCTATTCAAAATGTCCTTTGAGAGAATAAAATGTTTTCCTTCTTTCAACTTAATTATAAGCAAGGAGAGCAAACTTTGTGATGCTAAATGATCCTTATGAATTATTTTTGTGGACTGTGGTAATCCGTACCGCATGATGTTTGGATTGATAGTATTCTTATACATTTCAGGAACTGTGTAGCACCCAAATTTATTATTTTTATTTTTTAATTTATATTAGAATTTTCGTTTAATTTTTTAATATTTAATTTATAAGGTTTTAATTTAATTTAATTTAATAAGAATAAAAATAATAATAATGATAAAATAAGGTAAAATTATTTTTGGGATTTAATTGAAATTGATTTTGGGAAAAAAAGGGTGAAAAATTGGATTTTAGGGGTGTTTCTACTAACCTTTACTTCTGTGGTAGTGAGATAGTGTGATATTTTTACTGAGTTAGTGTAACTCATTCCTTACTTAACCATTTCAGATCAGGAAGATGTGGTTCTCGAGTCCATTCCGCAGGAAGACGGCGAGTTAGACGCTTAAAGATTTTATAGTTCTATTTATAGTTTTTATTTCGAATATTTCTTTTAATTAACTTATTCTTTCATACGTTGAATACGTTTATGGTTATTGTGTAAGGAATATTAATTAGAATTTTTATTTCACTTCCGCATTTAAGATTTTTAATACATACATCTTTATTTAAATTTCCGGGGCCGTTAGAATTGGTATCAGAGTCGCGTTCCTCGACTCATCCCTTACGCAATAATGCTTAGAGACATACCCACCGATAAATCGTTACTCAACTCTTCCGTGTAAAATACAGGTGCAAAGAGATGAGGAGAGGAAGACCCCCACTAAACCGAGCAGTCCAGGATGATTCGCTTCGGGAAGATGTTGACAAAATATTTGAGATGCTGGAAAGGATCATAGCCGCCATGCAAGGTCGGGATGAGAGAAGGGAGTTACCCGAACCTCCCCCACTACTACGGGTTGAGCCACCGCTACAGCAAGCGGATCCCGAGCCACCCCGGCACGAGCCTGCTCCACCACAGTATCACCCGGCACCACCGCCGCAGTATGAACCGGTGTCCCAGCCACCGTACTGCCCGGCACCGCCACAGTACAATCCGGTGCCCCCACCATTTCAGCAGGTGCCACCACAGGGGGTCTATCCCCAGCCGGGCCCAGTCCCTCTTCCACGGGACTCAGCTCCTTCCTTGATCGACCCAGTCTACATAGAGAGGTACAAGAGGCTGAACCCTTCCACTTTTGCAGGGGGATCCTCTTTCGAAAATGCCCAGTACTGTTTGGCGGAGACTGAGAGAGCCTTCAATACCTTGGGAGTGGTTCCTGAGCAGAAAGCTGTCCTTGCTTCCTACATGCTGGTAGGGGAAGCAGGTCGTTGGTGGGAGCTCAAGCAGGCCACCCTGCCTCCACCAGCCACTTGGGAGCAGTTCTTAGCGGCCTTCCATGCGGAGTATCTCCTTAAGCACATCCGACACCTGAAGGAGATGGAGTTTGTTCAGCTGGTCCAGA